TAGAAAGCCTCATCTTTCTCCCGCAGAGCGGCTGGTAGTTTCGAACCACTGACCTTAAGGTTCGCAGCCCGATTCGTAACCACTATGCTATATTCCTGCTGAATTTCTTTTCCTCTTAACAAACAACACTGTGATTGGGAGACTAGCAGTCTCCTTCTGTTCACCTCTGTTCTTTCCTGCTTGTTTTAATTTCTAATTTTATTCCTTTCTACCAAATCTGTAAAGAAAACAAAGTTGTTATCTTCTCATGACTACATGACTAAGGGGGCACATATGAGTTTAAGAATGAATTATACATAAAAATCCATGTAAATAATTTAAGTTAAAATATTTAAGTTAAAAAAAGAAAATTTTGTATAAAAAATTTCATTTCTGTGGAAAGACAGAATTGAAAATTAACTGTGTTTTTACATATATACATGTATAAATTCACAGGAAAAGTTTTTTTTAAGTAGACTTGTTCTAGTGGCCCTAGGTATAATCGTCTTATTTTCTAAATCTATAGACTCTATAGTAGATAGTAGTATGAAAATAAAAAGCAGTTTGAATCTACTAAAATTGAATAAGAATGAAGAAGTCACATGATCCACTATAGATCTCAATACAGTCCTAAGCATGGGAACTGGTAAGCCACAGTTTTTATATTAATACATTCTTGAAGAATATAAAATTTAAGAATGAAAACATTAAGACAGTTTTACCTTTTGAATTAATTTTAGCTTATAAATACTATGTGCTTAATCTTCAACCCGCTAACACGATATGAGCATCAGTGAAGTAAGAAATTTTCATTAGTTTTATACTCTGAAGTATAGCAAGGACATTGCTGTTGTTGTTAAGTGCCGTCGAGTTGGTTCTGACTCATAGCAACCCTATGACTGGTGGGCTTGAACTGCCAGCCTTGTGGTTAGCAGTCCAATGCTTATCCTACAGCACCACACCAGGAGAAGTACATAAAAATAAGACTTTTATTTCTTAGGAGTGTATTTGCTCCTGTTGGTGTCTTTTCCCCAGGATAGACTCTGTCCTGAAAGTTAGAGAGTGACCACAGATAATATGCTCAGAATAAGAACTTATGCTTTGAATATAATCAGAAACAATATCTAAGATTTGAAGGGAAATAAAACCTACCCTGTTTACACAAAGTAGATACAAGGAAAAGTAAAATAGGATTTGTGAGCTTGCAGAAGTAATTTTAATGTAAGATTTTTAGAAGGCATCAATGAAACTTTAACAACCCTGCAGTACCATGAAGTTTGTACTTTTCTTTATACATTTATGATTAGAACAAGTATCTTTTTAAAAAAACTCAAATGTCTGTCTATTTATGTGGAGAGAGTATATTTAAAAGGTTAGTTTTTGTAAAAAGTTCAGTAATTCTTTTCAATTCAGGTGTATTTTAATCGGGGTGGCCAACTCAGTGAAGATAAGTATACCAATTTGTACATGGAATTAAACTTCATGGAAAATGAAATGTAGCTTGATAGAGTAGTACAGATGTGCTTAATTGTTCCACTATCTATACCATTTGCAAAAATAAAAATATTTTTGATAGCTATTTGAATTCAAGGAAGAATGCCCTTCCTCCCCACTTTCTCTGTCCCTATATGCAAAAAATTTGAATTATTGTATTACTTCTATCCTTCTATATATTCTTTGGGGCTACAGGCCTTCTTTATATTAAATTTTCAGTACAAAAAGATACCCTGAAGAGTTTTATTGCTTGCATACATGATGGCATTATAGATACCGTTATCAGGAAAGTGTCTGGGAGCATTTTTCATTGCTGAGCCCCACCTAAAACCTAGATATGGAAGTCTGCCCTACATTTCATAGTTAAGCAAATGGTAGACTTTCAATATCAGCACATGTAAAATTGAAGTTTAAAAAACTGGAAAGTTTTTTAATGAATAGCAGTTTTTATCAAGGAAGTAGTTTTCAAGTTTGAAGGAAGGGCACTTTTAAAGGAAAATGATTTGGACAGCACCAAATTCAAGAAAATAAGGAATTAAGACCTACATGAAATATTAATTTTAATAAGCAAAGCAACAAATTATTTCTTTATTTTCAACTTGTCATGGACTGCTCAAATGTCTCAGAAAGCAAAAGTCACAGATGACTCTTGTAACCAATAACACATTGCAATCTTTTGTTTAGCTCAGTGTTTTAAAATGATGGATTTAAGTAATAGCATTAATGATTCCTTAATTAGAGAGAAGAAGATAGGCAGCTTCATTGATTCTCTTTGTGCTTGGCTAAAGATTGTGGGGTGGAAAGTGATTGGAAATGAAAATTTCTTCTTAGCACTAATATTTCTAATTTTTTTCATAAAGATAATGAGTATAATAAAAAAATACATGAGTATTCTTTCAATAATCTCAATTGAATAACATTGATATTTATAAAGCCAAAAACTGAGTGTGTCCAAGTTACACATTATCTACCATTGCTCTGGAATGGAAGTATCCTTGCTGTTCAAAATATTTTTCAAAAATAATCTGACCCATAAATCTTGTAACAGGCCCTTACACTTCCACTGTTGTCTACAAATTTACAAGAGACTTCTGCTGATAATTATTTCACATTTTTATTGCTTCTCTTTTCTTATGATTCAGAAAACCACAGCATCATCTATAGTTAATAGTTTCACCTCAATAACCACTCTCAAAGTAATTGTGACCAGTTGGTGACTAAAATACAGAAGCAATGTAGAATCTCTTTTAGTCTGTCCCTGATTTAATAGGGCCTAAGGAGCTCTGGTAGCGTAGTGGTTATGAATTGGGCTGTGAACCACAAGGTCAGCAGTTCAAAACTACCAGAGGTTCCACGGGAAGAAAATGAGGTTTTCTGCTCCTGTAAAAATTTACAGCCTTGGAAACCCTGTACAGGGTCACTATGAGTCAGAACCATGGCACATAACAACAACAAGGAGCTATACCTTTACTAGTTTTTGGCTTTGAGTATTTGGTTTCATGTTAATGATCATGGCTAGGATTCCTTTTACAGAGGAAGGGAACATAATCATGCCAGTCATAATTGGTTCACCTTCTCCTTTTGGGTGGGAAAAATAGGAGATACTTTAAATGTTTCTTAAAATAATGGGTCCCTAATAAATGTGTTGTTGTTGTTAGGTGCTGTTGAGTCAGTTCCGACTCATAGTGGCCTGATGCACAACAGAACGAAACAGTGCCAGGTCCTGTGCTGTGCTCACAATTGTGAATAAATGTGTAGCAGTCTCAAATTCTGAGTATACCTACTTTACAGCTAAGGTGCAATCCTCAAAGTTTAATGAGGTCATTTCTTGTAGGTTTCGAGGGATGTTTGGAATGTGACCAGGTGAAGGAAAAATCCTTTTCTTCAATTAGATCTTTTAAGTTAAGTAGTCATTTTACTATGACGTTTTAATCTTTGCCTTTGAAAAGAGGAATCATAGTTTGTCTATTAAAATTCCCCAGCATATAAAAGAGAAAACATTGATCAGATCCTCTTCAATCATTGTGTCTACCCCCAAAACCTGCTACTGAAGCATTTCTCTCTCCATGTTGTGTTTTCCCCTTCTTAGGTGGGGTGGCTTGTGGCCATGAGCAAAAACTTCTCTCAATGCTTCCCAAATAAAGGGTATCACATGTGAATTTTGTTTCCTAGCTCACAAAGCAATAGGCCTATCTCAGTTGTTCATTATGCCTAGGCCTCATTTAAACATGCTTGTTGTTGTTAAGTGCCATTGAGTCGGTTCTGACTCATAGCGATCCTGGTTAGAGTTTCTGAGGAGCTGCTGGTGAATTATAGCCACTGATCTTGCAGTTCAAACCGACCTTGCAGTGCATTATCCCACAGTGCCCCAACATGCTTAATAGTCTTGTGGAAAAGAAACATGTCCACATGTCCCAATTCTGTGTACTCTCAAGTGTCCTATACAGTTTAGGTTTTGGTGAAGATTTTTGTACATGCTGATGTTAACTACTACAACAATTATATGGTTTTAAATGGCAAAATAACCTGGATGACAGACAGTCCTAGTGATCAAAATGTACATTATCTCAGAATAGTCAAGACGGAAGCATTAACTGAACTCTCATATTTAAATAGGTATTATTAGCACCTTCAAAAAGAGGCACTGTTTTAAATAGGCACAGAAAAAAAAACAATATTTAAAAA